TTGTGATTTGTATATAATGAGATCCTCATAGATCCCAACAGGCTTACCTACTTCTCTAGGGAAATTTGTCTGAGGAGTGATATCATTATGCCTCAGTCCAATGCTGTCTAAAGATGTTCGAGTATTTCTCTCAGTCTATTCCAATCATTATGCTCTTCTTCTACAATCTGTTTCTCATGAATCCAGTCACCCTTATAAAGCCACTTATTCATGTCTTTCCAGACTTGCCACATTAACAATGTAGAAAAGCCCAATATGTCATTTCTAAACAATAAGGATCCAACACTACAATACCACCATCTTTGGAAACAAATTGAATCATTCTTAGACCAATTCTAGCTAATCCCACTGAGTGTCCAACACAATTTATATTTAGGACAATGATTCATATCCTCCTCAACCTCTCCACAAACAATACACATCAGATCAATGTCTAACCTTTTTTTCTTAAGTTGAGAATTAGAGCTCCATAGTCATACCAGCATCTCCACAGAAAAGTTATTCACCTTGGCTTAATTGATAGGTAGCTGCCATGTTGATTTCCACATTTTAGCTAAGGCCCTTGGTGCTAAGCTTGTGCTTGTCTGCTCTTGGGGTTTGGCCTAAAACTTCATGATGGATTTGTAGACTTCTTTGACTAAAAACACACCTTTAGGACTCTAATGTCAGATAAGCATGTTTAAACCCCCTTGAAATGACAGTAGAATATTCAAAATGAGATATGAAATCACAAGCTCAAAGGTTTGGCATATAAATTCATAGTCCTAAGCATATTTTTTTTTTTCTGAAACAAATTACAAACTTTGGATAACCTCAACCTATCTTCCCTAAATTGACAAACTATTTTGAAATGAGGACCCTTAGAATCCAAGGAGAATAACAAATAGAAATGGATTGACCATCTCTTACTTTGAACCTAGCCCCTAATTCCAGGGATTTCTTAGCACACAACCAACTCCTCTAAAGCCAAGAATCATTGTCTTTAGGTTTGACATCCAACAGCCTAAAGTTCTATGAATATCTACCTGTGAGCACTCTGCTAACTAACAATTTGGGTTTTGTTACAAGTCTCTAGAGCTGTTTTACGAACAATGTTTCATTAAAAGTTGCCAGATCCTTAAACCATAGTGCCCCATTTTTTTTTGTATTTGGTCAATTTTCTTCACTCGACCTAGTGAATTCTGTTACTCCCTCTATCATGTTTCCCCACAAAAAAGAAGCTACATCCCTGCATATCATTCTAATAATAGAAAGAGGAATTCTGAAGCATGACATAATATAGGTTTGAAGAGCATGAATGACAGATTTAATCATCACTTTTTTTCTTGTTTCACCAAGAAAGTTGTTTTTCAAATTTATGATTTTGTTCTGCACACACTCACAAACAAATTAAAAAGTATCCCTCTTTGATCTGCCTATACCTAATGGAAGGCCCATATATTAAGAAGAGTTCACCCTAGACATCGCAGACAAGATATTGCAAATTCTATTCATTATATCTTCCTGATTGTTCTTATAAAACATGATAGAAGATTATCAAAATTAACAAGCTGTCCAGAATCATGCCCACATTGAGATAATATATTTATAATCATGATATATGACATGTTTCTCATCAGCTTTACAGAACAAGATTGAGTCATCAACAAATAAGAGGTGTGAGATACAAGGAGCATGTTGATCTATTTTTATGCCTTTAAAATCACCAGAGGAACAAGACTGATTAACCAAATTGGAAAAAGCTTCTAACACAATAATGAAGAGATATGGTGATAGAGAATTACCTTGTCTCAAACCTCTAGTAGGTCGCAAAAAACTAACTGAGCACCCTCAATATTAAAAGAATGAGAAGTGGAACTCACACATGCAAGAATCTAAGAAATAAAGAGATCACTGAAACATATTTGCCGACATACTCTAGCAAGAAAGACTCGTTCAACTATCATAAGCTTTTGACATGTCCAATTTTAAAGCCATGTAATTCTTTTTGCCTTTTCTCTTGCCGTTAAGGGAGTGAATGCACTCATTTGCAACTATTATATTGTCAAGAATCGCCTACCTAGAACAAAAGCATATTGGGAATTTGAAATGCAATCAGGCAACACATAGTTCAGTCTATTGGCTATTATTTTATAAAAAAGCTTGTATATCACAGAACATTAGGCTTATGGGCCTGAAGTCAGCCACTTTAGAGGGACTTTTGGCAATTAAGTAATACTGTATGGTTCAAACCTTGGGGCATTTTACCACAGGAGAAGATATCTTTTCCAAAGCAAGATTAACATGAAAACTTGATAACATGCCAAGTGTGTTGGAAAAAAAGAGCAGCAAAGTCGTCTGTCCCTAGTGCTTTATCCTTAACCATATCAAAAAGAGCAGCTCTAATTTCATCTTCTTGAACCCTTCTCATTAAATCAAAGTTCATTTGAGTAGTAACAGATATTGATACCCTCAAGGTTACAAACTTGATCTAGAGGAGAACTAGATTTGAAAAGATTGTCACAGTACTTCAAAAGCTAATTGAGGGTTTTTGCAGCTATCAAGACTATTACACTTTCTTCTTTGATTCACAGAAGCATGGAGGAATTAAGAGTTCCTACCACTCTCCCTGAGCCAATAAACCCTAGCCTTTGCTTCCAAAAATTTTCCTCTAATTTATACTAGGTTTTAGATCAGTATTTCAAGCTACTCACTCCCCCATATTTCTCTCCTACCAAATCTCTAAGAAAGTTCAATTTTGATTTACACTCCTTAGTGACCATTTTAGCATTAGGCACCTTATCAATTTTTCAGTTAAGAATAGCAAGCCAAACATTTCTAAGCCTATCTTGAATACTGTAAAGAGCATGGCCAGAAACATGTTTATTCCAAGAAACCTCAAGAATTGGTATAAAAATCATCAAGTTTAGTCCAGCTAGCATCAAACATAAACCTCTTTTTGAAACCCATATTAGCAATAGAAGTATCAAACATGAGCATGCAATGGTATGCAGAGATTAAAGTAATGTGCTTAACACTGGAGTTTGGAAATTGAAGGAACCAAGAGGGAGAGAACAAGAATATATCCAGTTTCTCCTCAATAAATTGATTTCCTTTCTTGTTGTTAGACCAAGTATAAGGGTAGCCAAGAGATTGGGTTTCTCCCAACCCCAAAGTTATAACAAAGTTCCTAAAATGAAAGAAACTGGCCTCATCCCTCTTA